TTTGGCCATTTTTTAAATAAAACATATCAGTTGATTTCAGTATGTAGCGGAGAGATTGTGAGCTACTGTCAACTTGACATCCATGTTTATTATCATGTTATCAGTACCAGAAGACATGGCCAACGTAATTTCAATGGCTCTTTGAATCAGCAATTTTCTTTTAAGCCACAGCTTTCCCTTTGCGAATAAGAGCCCTGAACCTGATTCACTTGAAGTGTTATAATGAGACAAAACTCATGAAACCTGAGCTCCACACTCTGGAACGCTAACCATTGGGCCACGCGGTAGCCCCCTTCTATATATAGTATGATATAAACTGACTTTAATAACACATTCAGTTCGGTGTATCTGTCTCTGCGCGTGTCTGTATTTTTATTTGTCTGGCGTTCCCTACAAGCTCCAGAATTATTAAGCAGATTTTTCATTTTATTGGACAAAATAATCATCTTCTGTAATTTCTTCAAGGAATCTGATAGTATACAATAATTAAGTGACCCGTAAGTCACAGTAAACATCTCCTTTCATTAACTACATAATCCTTGTGAGATGACATGTTTGAAATAATCATGAATATTCATACTTCTTATATATCAGCAAACAACAAAAATAACTGGTAATTTCGAACATAATAATTAACTTCGATATTTTCGTTCAGTATTGGTTACGATTAGTCAAAAGACAGAACTGAACGCTTAGTTCTGCTTGTTAAAAACTGACTTCAAGGTATTTACTTAATTTCTACCTATCTTACCAGTGTGGTACTTTTGAACAAGTTTGTTTTGAATTTCGCGCAAAGCTACACGAGGGTTATCTGCGCTACCCGTCCATAATTTATCAGTGAAAGACTAAAGGAAAGGCAGCTAGTCATCACCACCCACCTTGGGCTACTCTTTTACCAACAAATAGTGGGATTGGCTGCACATTATAACGCCCTCACGGCTGAAAGGGCGAGCATGTTTGGTGGTGGGGATTCGTACCCCCTAGCTACCTAGCCATGTATTTTGAACAAATATATAAAGTTAATGCCTTGAAATAAATCTTTAGTGTGTTTTTTGTGAAAAAAATACTCTCTGATATAAACATAAGGTTTTTTATTTTTCCTGAAATTCAACTAACTAAATCAAATATTTCATTAACTTCTTCTTGTTCTTTAGCTCCGGATCAGTGGTAAGTCTGGGGGGAATATAACGCTAAAAATCTCATTTCAATACTCGCAATGCGTAGAGTACAGACAGCACAATGTGTAGCTTTGCACTTTAACATAAAAAAACTTTTGTTATTCAAACCACAGTGAGATGAAATGGATGCTAACCTTATGGACATTGATCATATGACTCACGAAAAATGCATTAACAGCCTTAGAAATTTGCATTTAGCCGTCTTGTCTGTCTGTTTGTTCGAGCTTTAGCAACCAAACTCTTAATTATTTAACAATAAAACCTTAACACTTATTTGTTATTTCCACGAACCGTTTTAAGCTTATTTTCAAAACGTGCAACATTACGTTACATAGCCGTAAAACAACAATAACTCACTATAACCTTTTAATAGGAATTATATCAATCTTATGCCTACTTAAACTACGCAAAATTGTAAAAAGGATAATTAGAATTTATAACATTTTAGCTATGACAAAAGAAGACCTGTGTTATAAGGTAATGCCCATCAACCCCTTCAGATCATTGTTATGCAACTCACGTATCTAATAATTTGTCATGTAATCTGAAATGGAAATTATAACTTTTTCAGCCTATGCTCACAAAGAAATATTTTTAGAAGTGGCTGTACAATGCATTACACTCAACTTCTATATGCAATACAGTCTGCACGAACAGTAATGGCAGCCTTGCACCTGTATTGCAGAGCGTTGACGAAATACTGGGTATCGTTACTTCTCTTCCGAAAGAACTGTTTGCACGACATATTTAGTGTCTGGAAAACTTTACAAAATGCGACTTGTAAATACTATTTCACTGCATAACACCAATGATATCGCTTTCTTTTTATTTTTTTGGGGGGAGTGTTTTATTCCTAGAAATATTCTAACAAAATACAAACCAGTTTTATTTACAAGTTTTTGTTAGATTTAATCAAATATTTTAGTTTATGTGAGTATTTGATATATTATATGTATATTTTGTTTAACCCTACAGATTTACCGGTGAGGTGCGCTTGGATCCATTCGGCTATTTTTTTAACACATTTTTCTACATTATTTATCAACAAATACATATTCATTACCTCCTTGGGTATCGGGTTTTTAATAACAGATAAGTTACATAAAACAATGTAAACAAAAATACTATAAACATTACAAATAATTCACCTAAATTATGCTGGGATTCCCACTGTATTTTTACAGAGAAAATATGTGATTTTACGCATTATTTTGATCAGTTCTTCGAACGTTATAAAGTCAAGTTGGCCATCTGAGTAAGAGTTTTATGACAGAATATTTTATATAAATGTTGAAACTTCCATATTTGTCGTTTTTTTTTTTCATAAGAATTTCAATTAATGAGAATTTGTATTACTGTTGTTTAAACGTTTTTCTGCTGTACACTAACAGGATTTTAGTTCCTGCTAACACACTGTTTTTTTTCATAGAATATGACGAATTGAATTTTATCCTACTAAAGTGATTGCATTATCATTACCAGCTGCTTTTGTATAGTATGAGTTTTTGTTATGCTAATAGCTCAGTTCTAGAAATTGAAACATTAGAATCTACCGTTTTGAATACGCCTTAGAATATATAAAAGCTTTTGCAAAGATTAGTAATAAGTTTGTTACTAAAATATTAATTCTTAAGTACTTTCCTGTCGCTCAAAGTTTATTTTCACATTCAATTTACTTGATTTTTTTCTAAATTAAAATGGTATATAAATAATGCTGATAATCCTTTAGACGTGATCGACTTTTGTAAAAGAAAATACACAGCGTGAATGATAGAATGCAGACTATTAACAGAATTTCTGAAATCGAGTTATTATCACTGGACGTTCTTTAAGGGTTGTCATGGAATCTGAAACTGGCAGCATGTGCCAGTTTCGGCTCGTTCTGGGATTTGAAGTACTTAAGCATCACCATATGTCATTAAAGCTGTATACAACCTAGGCTTACACCAAGTCTCACATAAGTTTGCGAACCAATTGTGTTGAGCCAACCAATGTAGACACGTCTACAGAAATGTATTAAAAAAGTAAAGGGGGAAACTAATGACAAGTAAGTAAATTACACTTTATTAGTCATCTTACCTTTAAGACGAATGGTTTATTTTAGTTAAGTAAAATAGGACGTAATACAATATAAAACTATTCAACTCACGGATAATTTAGAATTTAAAATATGTAACAGAAAAATCTGATCTGCAAAGAGCATCATCGTTTTTGTGCCATAAGGTGACAGAGCGGTTAAATGCAGCCTGAAATGTAAAAACGAAAATCATTTTATCATTTTTGAAGTTATCATAATATGGATCATATGATAGATAGTTCACGTTCCAACGTTTTTCTTGAAAAGTGGTAAGAAAATTATATCGTAATTTTTTTTACATACGCACCTTTAGTACGTAATAGTTTTATTAATCTGTCTTATGCATCCACAGAAAAACAACACAGCAAAATGTAAACACGTTATTGAAAGGGAAGCTAAAGCTGTTTAGTTTTTTGTCATGGTATATCATATGCACTAAGAAGTCTGTTTATTTTGATAAATTGCCGAATATACGCGTTTCAAATAAAGTACTTGTAATTGTGTTTTGTATCTATGACAAATCTAATAAAGTTACCTGCTGGCGTCCTTAATTTTGAGCTATTGAACAGAAGAAAGACATCTAGTCAATAGCACTTTACCACCCATTATCCACACTAACGAATTGAGTGCCACTCTTATAACACATCCACAGCCTCGAATGCGTGGAATATTTTGTGGTATCTCACGGATTTGAACCCACCTCGCTAGCTCCAAAATTAAGAGTTCTACCAAAGGGTCAACCCGCGCCCTTCATATAAAGTTATTATTTATTTTATTATATAGAGACGTTAATATAAGTTCACTTTGAAGTTAACGTTAATTATACAGTGATTATCGGGAGGCGAAATTAATCCATGATTTTAATTGCTGGAGAATTAAAGAGTATAAAACAAAAAAATATACTTCAGTAAAGGGCGTCAGAAAATTTTATATCAGTAGATGAAACTATGTTTTCATTGTTGATTATATATTATCTGACACTTACATTCTTATTAATTCTATTGAAGTTGTTTTTGATATTAATAATAATCATTTAGTTTACTTTGTTTTTCTTTATGCAGATGGCCTTAATTTCTGTCGTTTGTTTTTGATGTAATGCGAATTGTGTTGTGTAAAAAACAGAGTAATGATTGTAAAAATTAACATGATATTCGTATTTACACTAGCTATTCATATGCACTTTTGTTTCTTTGTATGTTTTCCATTAGTGACTTGCCTGACAAGCAGTGTTCTCACTCTATCAGCCATTGCGTGTGACCGCTTCGTTGCCATCATGTTCCCACTGCACGCGCGAATCACTAAGCGGCGGACTGGATTAGTCATAAGCGGTATTTGGTGGATATCTATGATGGTTTCGATCCCATTTCTAATCTATAGGCGGTTCTATTCCCTCCAGGTAAGACTTGGAACATTTAATACGTCAATATAAATGCAATATTGCATCATACCATCGACAGTAGCTGTATCCATGTGATATCGTACAACACAAATTAATAAAGATATTGAAACAAATTATATGAAAATAAAACAGTAACAGATTTTGTTTTTATTAGAGTTGGATTAGTTGTGGGAAATATATTTTACTGGATGGCCTCAAGTGCTGGATGTAAAGTACAAACTTGTCATGTAAGATATTTCCTATTCATCACAACAACAAAATTTCCTTTTATATCGTTATGTTTTGTATTCACCTCTACAGAAAAGTTTTTATTAACTACCGTTAGCTTTGATATTCATCACAACAACAAAATTTCCTTGACTATCGTTATACTGGATATTTGCTTCTATAATAACATTTTATTGTGTATCATTTTGTTTGATATTTCTCACCCCAAAAAATATTTCCTTCATTATCATTATGCTCATTATTTATCACGACAACAAAACTCACTTCACTATCGTTTTGTTTGATATTCATCACCACAACACAATTTCCTTGAATATCGTTATGTTTCATATTCATCATCACTATACAGTTTCCTTCGCTATATTTATATTGGATACTTTTCTCTATAATAAAATTTCTTTGACTATCCTCATGCATAATATTCATTACTACAACAAGATTTTCTTGACTATTGTTATGTTTCATACTTATCTTAACAAGAAGATTTCCTTGACTATGGTTATGAATGATATTCATCACCACAATAAGATTTTATTCTATTTTCTTTATGTTTGATATTAATCACCACAACAAATTTTCTTGGCTGTCGTTATTTTAGATACGTCTCTACAATAACATTTCCGTGACTATAATTATGTTTGATATTCATTCCCACAACAAGATTTCCTTGACTATCGTTATACTGGATACTTGTAAATAAAATAAAATTTCCTCGTGTACCGTTTTGTTGGATATTTAAATTCACAATACAATTTCCTTGCGTATCGTTTTGTTGGATATTTAACTTCACAATACAATTTCCTTGCGTATCGTTTTGTTGGATATTTAACTTCACAATATAATTTCCATGACTATAGTTATGTTTGAAAATGATCACCACAACTAACTTTTCTTGAGTATCATTGGCTATGTTCAATATTTACCTCCACAACAAACGCTTCTTTTCAATTGTTGCCAGACTTTGATACTTACCATGCAATTGAATACTGCAAGCCTATATGCTACACAAGTGATTTATTTAGCGTTTTAATTAAATATGACAGTAGTTTATATTTTAATAGACCACAATCTAAGTATGCACATAGTGATTTAATACTGGACGTTTTAATGTCCATGTGACACATACAATCTGTTGAGGGCTCGCTTCTAGCTTCTGGGTATTTGTACAGATAAGTTTAATGTACCAAGTAAGGACAAATTCTAGAATATATCATTTTACAAACAACACTATTACAGATTAATATTTTTTTTCAGGTATAATATACTTAGATTTTGCCACTTTGACTTTAGGAAGAAACTGAAGCACGTGTATTGCATTTTTTTTCCAAGAATTCTCAAAACTTTTTTCTAAAACTTAAACATATTAAGAAGTTGAATTGTTTTAGGAAGGAAACCCAAACATGCGTGGTTTCCAGAGTATAATTTTAATCTCTTGCCGACGTTAGGGGTACAAACATGTTTAACATGTAACTTCATTAATCCGTTAAACTATCAGTGAGAGTTCTTTCAGCCATTTCTATTTCGGGATGACTCGCAATCTGAGGGTCGGGGGTTTGAAGCCTTCGTCCCATCAAACATGATCGCCCTTTCAGCTGTGAGGGCGTTATGATTTGAGATCAATTTCACTATTCGTTGGTAAAAAGAGTTGCCCAATAGTAGGCGGTGGGTAGTGATGACTAGCTACATTCCCTCTAGTCTTTCACTACTATATTAGGGACAGCTAGCGCAGTATCCATCCTCCAGCTTTGCGCGAAATTCAGCCAAATAACGACAATGCTTTTTAATTTTTATCTTTAAAGATGGAGCAGTGTTAATAAAAAACGTTTTTACTCGTAATACACATTTATCTACCAAGCCTAGTTAAAGATTAGTTTTAATAGACAATACTATTGCTTTATTTTTTCACAATCATCTGACCGTTTTTAAATTCATTCAATACGTGCTGGTGACGTCAAAATGTTGAAAAATTTGCTATTTGTGTTCTTAATACTTAGCTCAGAACCAATTTTCTCTTATTGAAACACAAGTAAATATATCAGGGAAAATAGAACATTCTCAATGAAATAAAATTTATATTTAATTAGTTTATTTCATATAAGGCAATAATTTAAAATTTTAAAAGATACAGTGCCTTGCAAAAGTATTCACCCCCATTCCCCCGCAAAGTTTCCACAATTTGTTGCCGTCTGAGCTTACAGTCATGAAACCTTCAAATGGGATTTTATATTTAGAATCTACACAATCTACTTCAAACTGAGAAAGCTAAAAAAACGCTGATATTATGTAAATAAGTTAGATTTTTAAAAAAAATGAATACTATCAATCGCATAAGTATTAAATCCCTTAGCTACGGCAACCTTAAGTAAGTGCAGGTGCAAAAGATTAGTTTGAAAGGTCACAAAATTAGTATAATGGTCTCTATGTGTAATCAAAGTGGCTTAACTTGACTTTAGAGTAAGTGCAACTCATATAGTGATACGACAAACCAGCCATGAAGACCAAAGAGTTTTCGAAACAAGTCAGGAATAAAGTGGTAGAGAAGTACAGATCAGGAGAAGGTTACAAGAAAATTTCAAAGTCGCTGATTATCCCTTTGAGTACGGTGAAGTCCATCATTAAGAAGTGGAATGTGCTTCATACCACCCAGCCATTACCCAGATAAGGCCACCCTTCCAAACTAAGCAGCCGGGCAATCGGAAAAGTGGTTAGGGATGCCACTGTGAAATCAACAGTGATTTTGGAAGATTTGCAATGTTCCTTGTCTGAGATGAGAGTCAGTGTTCATACATCGACAACATCCCGGTCCCTACACACACACAGCTGGCCTGTATTGGCGAATGGCAAGAAAGAAGCTATTACTGAAAAAGAATAATCTTATATCTCGTATGTAGTTTACGACAAAGCATGTAAATGATAATGTAGACATGTGGCAGCATGTTTTTTGGGTAGACGAGACACAAATTGAGCTTTTTTGTTCTAAATTCAAAGCGTTACATCTGGTGTAAGCCCAACACAAAACATCAGTCAGTCAACACCATCCCAACTGTCAAGCATGGTGATAGCAACATCATGTTATGGGATGCTTCTCATCAGCAGGAACTGGAAAGCTTGCCAGGATTGAGGGGAAGATGGATGGTGCAAAGTAAATGCGAATCCTAGAGGAAAACCTGCCTGAGTCAGTCAAGAATCTAAAATTGGGTAGAAAATTCACATTTATGTAGGATAATGACCCGAGGCCACCCTGAAGTGGTTTCAAAAGAAGAAAGTGAATGTCCTGGAGTAGGACATTTAAGGCAAGTTCATCAACGATCCCCAACGAATTGGAGCAATTTTGACAGGAAGAATGGGCAAAATTATACCATTCCATTATGCAATAACAGCTGATGATGTAAATCTCATTTTGTATGCACGCGTCTCTGTAGCAATTTGAAGTGATGGTAATTAATACAGACAGTCAGTGTAAGTTAAACAACTACCACGAGAAAAAGAGTTAACAAATTTCAAAAAGAAATGGTTATTTTTTCAGCATCTATGATACGAGTGTCCAAGACAATTAAACCCAGATATTTATGCCCAACTCCACTGTACCGTGAATAATGTGTTGAAGAAGTGAAAAACGTTATATGGATCACCTAGAATTTTCATGAGAGCTATATATACCAACTTCATACTTCCAATCTGTTTAGGGAACAAATAAGGCGTTCATTGTATCTGTGTATGCAAAGCGTCAGAACTCGTACTACCTAGAATGTCGAAAGTAAGGTGAAGCATAATAGAAAACCGTCATTTTGGAGTGATGTACCCAGTTTCTCATTGTTTGCTTCGATTGGGAGATATCTTTGTTTAACAGCAACCTGGAGAAGACTCTGGATATTACTATAATGTCCAAGTCATGATTAGTAGTAAGAGTAGTATTATTGCGTGGGTCTGTTTTATCAGATTTCTACTTGTTTCAGTACTAATACTTAAGTTAGCTCTGTTGCACTTTGACACTTCAGATTTTGTTGCCAATAACGACAAAAGTCTGCTTTAGTCAGCTCAATGCTTTGATTTCAATCCGGCTAAAATGCTCTGAAGCCTTTTGGAAAATTGGTCGAGGAAGATAATCTAAAATCTCACCGCAAGTGGAGCTGTCTGAAAGAGAAATGACACTTCCTTTCGGCTCATGAGTACCAACATTTGGTATCTGTAATTAACGTCAAAGCTGGGCATAATTCCTATTAAAATAGGATTGTAGGCAAATGTAAACAGTAATAAGCAAAAGAATCCTCGCCTATCCATATCACATTTAATAGCTTCGTTTGTGTTACTATTTTAAATTATACAATTGCTTTATTTTGTACTTACTGTATACATTTTAGATATCAATCTTCATCAAAAGTTCGCGATAATGCAAGTCTGTTAATTTATAAATATGTGTAAAAGCTAAGTTAACTAAATCTTTCCACAAAAAGATAAAAAAGATGTAAATGATATATGCATTCTATAAGGGAATATCAGTCCAAGATCTTTATCCAATAGAATCAACTAATTTTTTTCTCCAGTGGAAGGACTTTCTGGAATCACACTGCGGTGAAAGCTGGCCCCGAAAGTCCGAGTTCGATCCGGAACTCCAATTATGTGTGACACGCTATCCTTCCAAGCAGCTGTATTACACTTTTGTCACAATCACACTCTTCTTTCTACCTGTTGCCATAATGGTTACAGCTTACTTCTTGATCATCTGGAAACTTTGGATCAGCGAACTCCCCGGCGAGAGAAATCTGGCTAATATTACTGTTCAACATCAAGCAAAGAAAAAGGTGATTTATAAAATATTTTTCAAAGCACAATAAAAAACCAATAATCCGTTCTAATCGTCTGTGTATATATGTAAATATCTTTAACAATAATAACTTGATACTAAATACTCTTTAATCGGATGATATCACATCTAAAAGATTTTAATGTCAAAATATCATTGATCTCATGGTTACGTTTAAAGGTATATCTTGTTAAAGTTAAGGTCATATGTGGCCTAGTTCAGTATGAGTATTTGGGTATGTGTTATTTGGAAAATTACAAAATGGTAAAAACATGTCGTGATGTATGTTCAAGGATAAGAGTTACTGTATAATATTATAACTTCTTAAATGTAAACTGCCTTTTAAATTTTGCTAAAAATATTATGAATTTTGGTTTTAGATGTTACTGTCAGTTCAAAAGGAGCATTTTGGTTTGTTTTTACGTTGTCATGCATAACTTATAACTTATATTATGAATTTTGGTTTGTTTTTACGGTGTCATGCATAACTTATAACCTTAATGTATTTAGTTTTGGAATTAATTACAAAACAAAATTAAATCAACAACAAATTCAAGCCTGCTTGCTATGAAGTTTAATTGTTCTGCAAAAAATTATATAATTCATGCAACTTGTCAAATATTATTAAAGATTAAACTACATACAAAGATACAACGGAAGGATTGTTGACGAACTGCTTTATATTTATTTTATATTACTGCTCACTTGTTCTTTTAAAACGTTAAAATCTCACTAAGAAATAATTGACAATAAGATAAGACTCTGATTTATTTAACCTTTTAGTCAAATTGCTATCATAACTAGACTAAGAACCACGATGCTTGGTCTTTAAAAAGTTGCACAACTCATCGTGAGTTGATAAAAAGCTTCAAATCCTATCTCTGGAAGATATAGATGTTGTTCCGATTTCCTGACTCAATCTCTATCACTCATACAAGTAACTTAGGAAAAAAAACATATTAAAATGTTCGTGTTTCTCTAGGTTTGAATGTTCCAGTTCCAAGTCATTCGTAAGTAATATATTGTTCAAAGGCTAACGAGTGTTTTCTTTTACTTTTTTTTTAATGTGCTATTGAGAAATTAATAAGATTACACATATTCTTTTAAGCGCACATTCTGTGCTTATTAGTCCAAAGGAAAAATTATGTTTCAAACAGTACTGCTTTTTCTAATGATAATTATTATTGTCACTAAACCATTATGGGATTTTCTTGGAAAAAAATTAAAAATAGAAAACATTTTCTCAGATTTATCCCAGTCTTTTCTGTTAAATTGAAAACATGAACAGACGTAAATGTAATTATATTTATTTAGCAATTTTTTCGTCTCTCCCGTTTCTGACTCAACAATCTCCAAGAAGTACAGCAAACAAAGAGAACACTGAATTCCAGTAACAACTGGGTTTTGAAGTTGTTTTGAATACTCAACTTGTTTCATTTTCTACCTCAGGTGATCAAGCTTGTCGCAGTAGTGTTGGTTGTATTTGTTTGCTGTTGGATGCCTTTCCAGGTGATAGTTCTCTACTCTCAACACTCTTAGTATGAGTGGTGAGGTAAGTAGCTTTTATTATCGTCTATTATTTGTGGTATTAATTTGTTTGCTGTTGGATGCCTTTCCAGGTGATAGTTCTCTACTCTCAGTTTGGACACTCTAGTAGTATGAGTGGTGAGGTAAGTAGCTTTTATTATCGTCTATTATTTGTGGTATTATGTAACCACACGAGGCTCTATATTTCTGTAAATATTCCTAGTATGTACTAATTTATGAGACACTCTGCTTTGTGTTATTAGTTTACGCTGTAGGACCATTTAAAATGTCAACATGTTTATCCATCTTACGTCAATATATCATGTCAAAAAGTTATGACTACGTTTTATAAAAATGACTAAACATATCGAACTGATTATTCATTGTATTCTAATCATTATAGGTTTTTGGTTTTCTTAGTTGCAGCTAATTAGTTGGTTTAAATTATTTTAATTCTGTTCATCAGAATCTATTATAGTAATATTCAGTTTTTGTCTGTCCTGAAAATGTGACCTATCTAAATGCGTATGCGTTCCCCATTTCATTTCAGAGAATGAGTTTTAATAAGGCCTAAGAGTAAGCTGTGATGAAATGTCAAAGAAAGCAATTTAGATCAAGAAATTTTATTTAGAATTTTATCTAATTTATAATTTTATCAGATTGATCGTCCTTTGCGTCTATCTCACTCTGTTATGGCTTATTCCATGTTGATTAATTATTTATTCTAAGTTTAAAAAAAGAGGAACACCGAAATTAAACAGCTGAGAAGACTGAACATAAAAACACTTGTTTGGTGAAAGATCTTTTAATAAAAGTCAACTTTTTATAATATATTCCAGTGTTCAGTGTTATCCGCATACCTTAACATTTCTAAACAACATATAAATCCTTCCCTGACCTGATTAATTTTCTTTTTTTTTGCAGAACATGCCTGAATGGGCCAAAATAATACTCTGTACAAGTGCGCTTAGGTTATCACACTTCTTTAATTGTGTTATAACTATTTTTTACGATCAGACACATTTTTTTTTAAATCTGAAATTAAAATTTTCTGTGGCTGATTCATATTCTTTGTAAGAACTTTTTAATAAACTGGTATGTTTTGGCACATCATATACGGAAAATACATAATTCTAATATTGTTAGTACGGTTAAACGAATCAAACTCTAAAAATAAGAGTATTATTAAAACTTTTAATAAAACCTTTAGAATGATGTTACATTACAAAAAACGTTCTGGTTTAGTAGTTGAAGTGTCAGATTACGGAAAGAAAAGTCCTAGGTTCGAGTCTTCAGTATGCTGTGTAATACGTTCTACACTTTAAATAGTGAGTGTTTTATCAAAGTAACAATCAATTTCGTTATTCACTTAAGACTAGCCGTGTAAAAGCGTATCCTACTGACTGCTCTTCCCTTGGTCAATGGTTTTAAATTAGGAGTGGCTATGCCTGAATCTCAGGGTTTCCAACATGGCCACTTAGTTCAAGTGTCGCCATTCACGTTCAAAAATGGTGCAGCAATATGGGTCATTTAAATCAGAAAATATTTTCATATTTTTTAGATTTTCAGTACAAACTGAGGCAAATACACACAGATAACGTATCACTGAGACGAGCAGAATTGGCACATCGAATAACCATAATAAATGACAATCATCTATAGTATGTGAATGTCAGAATCTGTGTGGTTTTATTTGATAAAGAACTTGCAAATTAAAAATACAAATAGTAGACATACAAAGCTCTCAGTGTAAATATTTCGATTATTTACTCGAATTTCAATATTAAAGATTTGTTTGTTTTGTTGTTAAGCGTAATAGATAGTTTAAAAAAAGAACCATTGACCTTACTAGATTTCGTCTATAAAAGTTTTTGAATTTCAACCATATCAGTAACATGCTTTAAAGCATTTCATCCAGCATTCACGTGCTACTACATACAATTCATAACATTCTTAATCGATAACTAGGATGAAAAGATAGAAAGATGCATTAATCGTTTTTAAGATTTATATCGTGAAGCATGTACGATTGATTTCTAGCCCTGTTCACTTCGCTTTGACCGCTGTTATTTTGAAAATTGTACATTTTATAACGAAGGAGAATATTAAACACAGAAAACTTTAAAATTAAGGAGTATTTATTTGTAGATATTGTAATTGTTCTTTATTATATATATATACATTCAACTTAAATAGGTTAATGCTACCATAAATGTAGACTCATAACCTTTACGTTATTATATTTACAGAATTTCAACTTTGCCATCAGCCCAAATGAGCTCATATATATATATATCAAATCAAATAACGCCGATAACGACACGCTGCTAGGCAATAAGATAAATCAAGAAAACCATCACATGTACACGATTTTTTACTCTGTGATTTTCATACCATATTTTGCAGCTTCCCAAGTGGTTCCCTGCTGTCACCTATTTCGCTACTTACTTCGCCTATTCTAACAGCGCTTTAAATCCCATCATCTACGGTGGTTTTTGCACCAACTTTCGACAAGGATTGTGTGCTGTGCTCCTATGTAAGGGTTCGGAACCTTCACTGCGGAGACCGGGTAAATTATCTTTTACTAGGATTGATGTAAATCATTAGAAATTATTCTCTTTTCATGATAGTCAAAGCAACATTTTTTTTTCATTTATTTTTTATAAGATCGCTCATTTGTAAATAATTATATTTTTTTTTCTCGAAAAAAGTTTGACGTGGAATATTCAGAAGAAAAACTGGTAAGGTCATCTAATGTGGTTTGATCAAGTTTTATTTCTAAATAACGCCTGTACGTATACTCACTGATTGGATCGTCCTCCTGATTTTATGTGATTGACATTCTTCAGGCTATCACAAGCTGTATTTCTTATAACGTTAAACATTACTAGCCTTTTAACAGCCATTTTCTACAGCTGTTTCTTGGCTTTACGTCTCAAAGCGTGTACTTACGTCTTAGTTTTAATTGTTTAATCATTGCCACAAAGAGTAACTAACACACATATCAAATTATGTGATAATTTACAATGTAATCATTTTAGAAGGATGATAAATGGAAAGACGTTTGAGATTTGTTATCCAGTATGACTATTATGCTTCATATTGAAAAAATAGTTTTAGTCAGATGTTTGAGTGAGCTAGAAAATCTTATAAGCTTCTTCCTTCACACCTTTGAAACCATTTTTAATAAGTTGGAAAGAGATATCCGAACACCGTCTAAAAGTAAGCCATAAATCACCACGAAAATTAACCCTGAAACACCAATCTTCTGGTGATAGACTTGCACTACTAGTTATATGTGGACATGATGATAGAAACTAGAACATACAATATAAAGGTTAATCCTGAATACTATAAACTCAGCTTTGTAAAAGTAGTAGTTTAGTTTTAAAGGTAAACGCACGATGTAGTGTCGAAATATGCTATGTTTAAAGTGGATCCAAACTGATTTTAATGCATGAATTATAAATTACCCCACCTATCAGTCCAACAACCAATCAACCACCCATTTATCTATCCAACCAAAGAACCATCTATCTTTTTATGTGAATATGTCAATGAGTTGGAATATTAATTTTATATCTCATACCTAATGTAAAGAAGTAAAACCACATATATGGCAGATGAAATCATCTTTTAATTTATTTTTTTACCTTGAACTGTGTAACTTTGGAAAGGGATTGGGGTTCGAGTTTAATTAATCTAATCAAAATCACCTTAGGTGTGTGAAAAACGGTACGGCCAAAAAAATGATTCAATGTGCGACTTAAGGGATCGATATCAAAACTTGGGGCGTGACGGTGGGTAAAAGAAAATAAGAAAGTGACACTTGTTAGTAACCCACATTAGTTTAGGAGCGCAACCTGATTATTCGGAACAGACCTTTAATTTATAGAACCAACCAGATTCTTTAGAATATATGATGGTAGTTTTTCCTCTCTAAAACAGTATTAATAGCTTTTATACTAATGCCATGGAATTTAGATCAACAGTTTATTGTCGTCACCCCCATGCAATCGGTACAGCCTTATCAAGCATCATTATTTATGCTAATTGCTTATGCTAATATCAAGTGACGCTAGACGCTCTTTAATTAGGATAATTTCATAAAATTTAGTAAATTTGTGCTGAAAAGTTGGCAATGAATAATCAATAATAACCGTTCATCGGTATGATTCTTTTGAAAACTTGAGCTAGAAACTGTTAATCTAGTGTGCTTGGCCTAACCAATACTTGTGTATCTGCACGTCCTTTCACCTTATAGTTTGGCTGCTCTAAATCAGCCGTCTTTAGCCCGAATGACAAAAAAGTAAAAACGGTCCAATTTTACTCTTAAGTGGAAGTATAGTAGAAATGTTAGACTGATAGATCACGTGACTTTTTGCGAAGTCATGCGCAAGTATTTTCGTTAAATTTGAACGGTATTTGTTAAATAACTTTGCACATGTGGCTTATAGTTACACCAAATGAGACACCTAATTGTAGGTGT